ATTGGGGAAGATTTGCCTAGTTAATTGCTGTTAGCAATTTGGAAAGGGCCATATTATTCTTTGAAATAAATTAACAATCCTCTTCCCAGTATTTAAACAAATTAGATGCAGTCCTTCTTCAGTACAGCTATTGGAGAACATTAAAAGCTTTCTATCTTGATTTGAAACCTTGTCAGTAAAAAGACCTCCTAGCTCATATTATTTTCCTCCTGTCAAAGCAAAATGTGGAGATTAGTCCATTTTTCAAAACTCCATTAAAAACCTTAATTCTTGTTTTTCTTCTACCATAAGCCATATCACTATCTCAGGATTGAACTAACAATATTCAGTAATGGTTCTTAAAAATCAACAGTAAACTATCTAGTTTAAGACCAGAGTTAAGTCAGTGTTATGTTGGTTCAACTTTCACAAAGGCAAAAGATTGAAAGCTCAATGTTTCAATAGATATACTGTAGCTCCATTTCTTGTCATCCTGTCAGCTGTGTTGGCTGACAGCTTTGCTTCTGTCCATCTCCATTTGTCCTTGATCTCTTCAACCATAACGCAGATGAGGAAGATGGCGTACCTTTGGTCGAAAAAGATGTTTAAGTTCTAATTATCCGCTGTCTTCTGGAACTTCTAAAATTAGCTACACTCTTAGAAGGAACTGTTGAGTTGGTTGCTAAGTTATTGGTAGGATGAATTAAACAAGATAGTGAAGAATACCAAAAATTCCCTTTTTGGTACTCTTTACCATTTTTTTGCTGATCAAGATCAGCTTTTTGAACAGCATTACAATTTTAAAAGTGCAATGTATTTTTTATCAGCTACGTTAGCCCCAAACTGGATACGTTTGAAAATGTCAAGATGGTGGCTACAATAGTATGATTGAATGCTCCCTCCCCCTCCATTTTAAAAATGTTTATTATGTGTAAGATACACATAAAAATCAGGTGGAGCTTCATCCACACCATTGTGGCTACCATTTTTACTTTTTTAAAACTATACCTGTGGACGACTCCTGTAGAATATACTCAGCCAGTTCTTAGCATATCCAATATGAACCTGGAAACTTGGTCATTTCTACATTGGAAGAAAGGCTGTTTTCCCATGCCTTATACTGAAAGTTAGTTATTGGGAGTGGCACCCTCCATCCTATCTTCTGCCCTTGGAAAATACGATTAACCTGAAGTCCTTTCTTCTGGACTAGAAGAAAACTTGAGCTAGAGTTCACAAGCTGCTGTAGAAATCAGATTAGGCCAGCTGTTCCATCTCTGTTTTCTAGTGCTGTTCTGTGGCCTTGTGTGATTTGTGTGTGAAGCAGGAACAGAAAAATCACTGATGGAAGGACAAAAATTAAGTGTATGTAGTAATAACAGGGAATGTTGGACTGCCAGCTTCCACAAAGATTTGGGATGTTCTCCACTGGCTGTTCCTCTATTTCTTCCGTAAACTGGCAGTAATTCTTTTACCCATAATTGATGCCTGATCAGACATGCTGTTTTTCAGCACACTGAACAGGATAAAAGTATTCCATCAGCAGTATACTGAGAAAGCACAAGGAGTGCCCTTTCAAAAGGTTCCAAACCTAGTTAAGCTTTGCAAGGGGAAAATGTAAATGTTAATGTTTAAAGGAAGGGATGAATAGCAATTAAAGTGGGGAATTGAATTGATGAACAAAGACAACAGTGAACTTTCTGACACTGCTTCAAAATAAACATGTATGAATTTGCTTCACTCAGCTTTCAGGTGATTGCAATGAGGGACTACTAGGAAGTTATATGTGGAGCAAGCATGGTTCATTTTGGGCAAATACAAAGACTTATTTTAAAAAATTTAGAAAATCCAGGGGTGGGATTCGACAGGGTTAACTACTCGTTCGGGATTTACAAGCTTCCTTGCACGCTGTGAGCCATGTGCCTGTAAATCATCATCAGCATGCTGTGTGCAGAGACGCAGCCTTTAAAACAGCCCTCTTTTCTTGCTTTTCTAATTGCAGCTGTGCCTCATTTGGCAGCTGAAGTTGAAAAATCAGGAAATAAAGATCGGGTAAGACCCCAGGTGGGCGGGTGGGCAAAAACATCAGCAGACATAGAACTGGGTTCTGTGTCTGCTGCTCTTCAGAGCTACCGGTTCTGCAGAGGTGGACAGAACCGGTAGAAACCCACCCCTGAGAAAATCCTAAAAGAGAGGTTGGTGTGATAGGAAATGAGAAACATCACAGTCTTGTTGACCCTGTGAGTAAAGGCAACGTGGTACCTGCTTCAATTTCTACAAGACTGAAGCATAAGATAGTTTCTTTTCCTTTCTTTACAATTTGATGAGCTTCCAATAAATGTAGCCGGTATGTAAGAGTGTCAGAGATACTGCTACATAGCTATATGGCTGTTTAATAAAATGCCACTTCCATTTAAATTATATGATTCAAACTAATCAATAAGAATAAATGGCATCAAAGAAATATAGTTGTTTATCTGTATCCGACATCTAACGCTCATCCACGAGGGCTATCCACAAAATAGGTTACGTTTTCATCTGTAGCAAGAAGGGGCGGAGCTATCGTGGCCATCTTTGGTCTGTGCGTCCACCGCTCAGTCTTCATCTATTCGTGCCATTGGGGGTTCGTATCATTGCCCGTTATTTCATAGCAAACGTTTGAAATGTGTGCTGCAATTGAAAATCCCGCAAGTTGTGACGTGCGATCAGTGATAAGGTTTTCGTTGGCAAAAAACCATAAACTGCTTGAAATTTTTCGGCAACTGTGTGAAGTGTATGGGGACAACATCATCACTGAAGGTGGAGTGCGCCAATGGTGCATTAAGTTTAAAAATGGCCAAACTATGGCACTCGAGAAGTCCTGAATGCTTTAAAGTGGGAGATTTTTCCTCATCCGCCCTACAGCCCCAATCTTGCACCAACCGACTACCACTTATTTCTGAGGATGAAGACCTGGCTTGGAACACAGCGCTTTGACAACGACACGGAACTGCGGGAGGGCATGACTGACTGGCTCAAATCTCAGGCGGCTGAATTTTATGACAATGGAATTACAAAGTTTGTTCACCGCTATGATAAGTGCCTCAATTTGTTCGGTGAATATGTTGAAAAGTAGTATTTAAGTGTCACTTTCAAGTGTATATAATAAAAATTTTTTCCTACACTTTGTTTTTTTTCTATCGCAAAATGTAATCTATTTTGTGGATAGCCCTCGTAGATTTTTCAGGCCCCTATATGGTATATCTAAGGTATAACTCCACAACAGGAATCAAAATGAACTTTCTATATTAAATAATAAGCATTCATTTGTGCAACTGACCCATAAATGAAGAGAGCTCATTTGGTATAGTAGTTAAGCTAGAAACTGGGAGACCGGAAGGTCTAGTCTCGCCTTAGGAACAAAGCCAGTAGGGTGACCTGGGACTAGCACTCTTTCTCGGTCCTAGGAAGAAGGCAGCCTTCTGAACAATCTTTTCTAGAAAACTGCAGGCAAGTTCCAGGAGTCAAAAATTGACTTGAGATCACAAACACACACACACACACAAACACACACGCATGAAGAAATGCTTTTAATCTTTTCTTTCTATCATTTGTTTTGTTTTTTTAATCTCTACAACTGGGGAATAACTAACAGAAAGGAAATTGACAGAAAGGAAAAACGTAAACTCTGGGCCACAAGTTTGACCATTGAGCTCAAAACCAATCCTTTCATCCCAACATTAATTATCAATTAAAGAGATAGAATAGATGGTATTCCTATGTTTGAAAGAGCAGACTTGTGCTGGTACCCAAAGCTTTGTCTGCACATGTTATTTTTAGGCATCATCGTGATCATCATCATCTTCATCCTCATCCTCATCCTCATCATCCACTAACGTCACTCTCTTGGGGTTTTGTGGTCCACAAGGCAACCATCACCCCCTTGGGCATCTCTTCCTACATATGTTGATGCCAAAATGGGCATGATCGCATTGCAATGAAATCACTGTCTTTTTCTATTTGTGTAAGTAGCATGTAAACATATAAATGATATACGTTTGTATCACAATTTCACAATGAGTATTTCATCACTTGTCTCCGCCTCACCCCCCTCTGTGCCCAGCCCCTGCGTTGACTCCTTTTGATTCATTGCCAATATTGTTCAGCTCTTCACTATAAAATGGTGGCGAACTAAAAAGAAGAGGCACATCTGCACATTTTATCACAAACATCACATTCATTTATGCTATCATTAACATAATATTCATTAGGACATATCCCTAAACCGTAATAGAAGATATTACACATAAAGGCCTCTAGATAGTACTTTCAGAGAACAATATTTTACTCCTAGAATGAAACTTCTCCAAGCTTTAATGAGGGAGAAATAATAACTTCAGAAGCACAATTTAGGATTTCATCAACAGCAACCCCTAATAAAACACTTTAATAGCTTTTATTGGACAGAAGTAGATTATATGCTCTAATCAGGATATTCTACCTGTTGCCATTTTAATCAGGTTGATTTGAAATCTGGCACATTTATAGAGTTCATCAAGTTTCGGGTTGTTAACAATAGGAGCAATATTTTTAAGCACTAAAATCCTGAAGCTTTAAACCTTTGTTTTAAATCAATACTATTTTAATCACAGTTCTCTTGTGGAATGTGAAAAACAAGTACATTACAGCAAAACGTAATTCACTAAACCATGCCCCCATTAGTGATATATAGTGACTTCCTTGTGTCAAACAGTCTTCATTTAAATTAATCAGAGCCTTCTTCAGGATTTGAGGTCTCTGTCCCCTTTTTACATTTGTCACATGATTGACAATGTATAACTGGGGGGGGGGGGGGTTGATCACACATCATGACTACCATCTTGGTTTTTAAAATTCTCCTTCCACAGGAATCACCGGGATTAATTGCAATTATTCTGGCACAAGCATGACTGGATATCAATGTATCATTATGTACATCACTAATGGGCAAAGGAATTAAATTGCAGCATGCCATTTTATATTTCAGTTTTTTGGGAAGTACTGACCTGTGATGATTGCTTTGCTGTATAAATGGCTAAAATTGGAATTCCTTGTTGCTGCAGAGATCTGATAAACCTTCCAATTATTTCATCTGTAAAACAGAACAATGTCATAGTAGTTTATTAATGCTATTAAATTCATATTTTGGAATATAGTTAAATATGTACCCCTGTTATTAATCTCTAAAAGTTCATTTTTACATAGTTAAATGCAAATTTCACAATACAGGGGAGAAACATTGCCTTGCCCTAAAACTTTTGGCATATCATCAGATGCAAGAAATCTTTCCAAAGATTAAGCATTGTGGAAATGATTCAGGATAATTCCAACAGGGCTATCAAAGAGCTTCAAAGAAAATTATTGGAAAGTATAGGTAGTCCTCAAGTTATGGCTGTAATAGAGCCCACCCATCATGGCCATAAGTCATGATGGTCATTACTCTGATTATCCCCATGACCAACCCAATTTTACAACTTTTTATGTGATAGTCATAAAGCAATCATCTTCGTTATTAAACAAACACTGCAATAATTAAGTCACCCAATGGATTGATGGCTGTAAACAGCCATCAATGCAAGTCACTGAGCAGCAGAAATCCAGTCACTTGTCCATGAAGTGGTGGCAGTGCTGTCCATTGGAACTTCAGGAAGGTCTATCATAATTTCAAATCACTGAGGAGTGATCAGACTTAGTCAAGGTCAGGCTCAGGCCCACATATGAGACAGTGAGATCCAATCAAGTCCAACACTTTATTTGCTTATATCTGTATCTGTCTAATCGACAGAATATTGCCAAATTAAACCCATAACTAATCTACTATAGTTATCCTGAGAGATCCTAGGGCAGGGGTGTCAAACTCAAGGCCCAGGGGCTGATCTGGTCCATGGGTTGCTTAGGTCTAGCCTGCCTGACTGCCCTGGAAACAGTGAAGGACTGGCTTGTGGTGCCTCTGCCTGCGAAAATGGAATTCGGGAGGGCACACTAGTGCCCTCTTTTTCACTGGTATCACGCATGGGCCACCACAGGTACCCCAACACAAGTGATGCCAAGCTAGCCACATCTATCCCATTCCCCCGAGGTCAAACACAACCCTGATGTGACCCTCAATGAAATTTGTGCTGCTAAGCAAAGCAGTTGCTACATGCCCTATTTTGCAACCTGTTTTTGCAATGGTTGTTAAGCAAATCACTGCAGTTACGGAGATCATTCAATTGTTAAAGCAAAACTGGCTTTTCCTGTTTATTTTGCTTGTGGGAAGCCAGCTGAGAAGGCTTCAAAATGGAAATCACATGACCTTGGGATGCCGCGAGTTTCATAAATACATGCTGGCTACCAACCTGCAGCAGTTTGATCCTGTGACTGTGGAGATATTGCAGTGGTTGTAAATGCAAGGACAAATTGTAAGTCTCTTCTTTCAATGCCACTATAACTTCAAACCACCTGCAGTTACTATAATGTTGCCCATTTGAGTCAAGCTGCTATTCTTCACATTTTTTCTTGGAAAGAAGGGCTATCAACTTTGATAAATTTGTTGATTTACCAAAAGATTGGGCAAAACTCTCAAATAAAGCAATGTAACTTGAACCAAAAGAAGGGATATTAATTTATATGCAAGCTGAAGTCACATAATGGACCCCTTTGGAGTATACATTGTTGATTTTGATTTGTAGTTTTATTCTTTTATATTCTGCTATTGTTCTTACATTTTATTAGTTTTCTTGAGTCTTCCAAAGAGCGGTTAAGCAGGTATGTGTAAATATGTAAATTAAATACATCTATACATAAATTAATTTACAAATATGTAAATTAAAATAAAAAAAACAAAAATATCCTTATCCTGCACAATAGACATTTTTCCTTTTCTATTTACTGATCCCTTGCCAAAGTTCTTCCCCATTTTGTAGGCAAGTTTATTTAATCACTTACCATTTTCCATGAGCTTATTTTGAATGGGAAGTTCATCATTTCTGCATGAAAACATTGAAAGGAAAACTAAAATATTTCAAAAGTAACTAATAGGTAAACATTTTGCATTAAAAAAGCATTTCACTTAAAAATTATTTAACATGCTTTCAAGAGGAAATATAAAACATATGGTTTAATATTGAAATATTGTAGCAAAGATATCATGTTGTATTTATCATTATCAGTGAATGTTTTGACAAATGAAATAATCCTGAAATAAATAGGGAATCCATTTAAAGGAACATTATTTGGGGCAGAAAGTGCTGACAGTTATGAATATATAAACTAAGCACAATTTTTAATATGTCTCAGAAGCTAGGCCTGCTTTATGCAATATTAAAACAACTTTAGTATCATTTAAAATGTCATATGGTGGCTTATATATTCCAGTGACTTGCACTGAGTCTGCAAAATGGAGAATAATCAGCACAGCATAATAGCACAAAGATAAGGGTAAATTAACCCTTCACCTGATGGACAATATTTCAAAATATGATGATGATGATGATGACTACGATAATGGCAACAACAACAATATGATAGAAATGCACCCAGGTAAACATGCCATGCCTAGTTTGCGTTTTTTTATTTACGATTATTTCCTCCCTAAGGGATCAAATGTTTGGGCAGTAATTTGCTCTTTCAGAAAGAAAAGGGAAACTGGTTAAAAATAAACTGACAGCAGAAGAGTTTTTATTGAGTAAGACAGATAATCGGGTTTTTGCCAGTCTTAATAACCTAGGCTTCAGTAGAATGATTTTTACCCAATAAGATTGCTGTCAATGCTTATAGAACAGCCCAAAATGAGAGATCATGGCAAAAAAAAGAAACCAAATGAGAGAGAAATTTCTATTTGAGATAAATAGATCCATTCAATGTGTCCAATGGATCCTACGTTGCAGGGTTTTTTTAGCGTAAGCATAAAATCTGGAGCTGTTTTTTCAAGTCGGTTCTTTTCAGATATGTTTGAATTTCATTTATTGTACAAGTAGTCCTCAATTTACAACTATAATTGAGCCCCAAATTTATGTTGCTAAGTGAGAAATTTGTTAAATGAGTTTTGCCCCATTTTACGACTGTTCTTGCTACATTTGTTAAGTGAATCACTGCAGCAACTAGTAACATAGTTGTTAAGTGAATCTGGTTTCCCAATTGATGTTTGCTTGTCAAAAGGTTGCAAAAGGTGTTCACATGACCACAGAACACTAGAACCATCATAAATGTGAGTCAGGTGTCAAGCATCTGAATGTAAGACACATGACCATGGGACTCTTACAATGGTCATAAGTGTGAAAAATGGTCATAAGTGTCTTTGAACCATCACTAAGTGACGGACTTTCTGTATCAAGGAAATCTACTTTCACTATGATTGTATTCCTCACTATTGGGAAGTGAAATACTCTCTTCTGATATTTTACAAGTCTGCTCCCATTATTCCATCTATGTATTATTTTAAAATTTGGAAGGACTTGTGTGCATCCCAAAATAATATAGAAGAATCTTTGGCTTTTGGGTCTTCCTGTATCTAGGGAAAATACATTAGTGGTTATAACTCATAACTCATTTTCAATTTACATTAATCTTACCTAAGACCCACTATTTAAGAAACTTCTCAGCTGCATTATGGAAGCATGCAAGATGTCTAGTCCTTATGAGAGATCATACCTTCTGATTGGTGGTAGGTTTATCTCAAATAAATTGGGTTTGGAGATATTCACTCTTAGCTTTGGTATGTCAGGGCTGTCTACATTTACCAAGTTCCAGTTCATTATCTTCTGGAGGTGGTCTGAAAAATGACTGACAGCATGACAGTCAACTGTTGGCAAAACCAATGAAGATGATGAAGTCTCAAGAAGCTCCTGCAGTAAATACAAATAGCAGTTAATTATGAGGTAGATAATTAAAGACCTTAAGAAAGTGATTGCTTTTTATACTTTGATCAGCTTTGATTACAGTTTCCATTATGCAAAATAAATTATATTATCTTCAATAAGAATCTGACAAGCAATTCCATTACACAAACAACCCAGTAATGAAAATCACCTTGTGGAAAAAAAACAAGGAAAAAGTTCAATATTGATATTGTCCTACATGTTTTGGAAATAGGTATTAAACTGGTTGTTTTGCAACCAACCTACCAAGAAGTAAAAAACACTGGCATGTAATATAGTAACAGATGGGATCTTTTGAGAGCTGCTAATGCCCTGCCAGTAAATTCATGGCCATACTCATACTTGATGACCAAATTGTAACACTGACATGTGTGAATGGTAGTATTTTTTCACACATCCCTTAAATAAAATGTTAGAACCTGATCGGCTCAAGGTTGACTCAGCCTTCCATCCTTCTGAGGTCAGTAAAATGACCCAAATTTGGGGGGGCAATATTCTGACACTGTAAAACAGAGAGGGTGGTAAAGTACAATGAAGTAATATATAAGTCTAAGAGCCATTGCTATCGCTACTCTTTTTAAGGAGACAGGAAGGAAAATGTTAGCCAAGAAGCATGAAAGCCAGATTGGTGACTTGGGGTCAGTCACTCTCAGAGTCCAACTCTCCTCACAGGATTATTATTGTGGGGAAAATAAGAGAAGGAAGGAGCATTAAATATGTTTGCCACCTTACAAAAATAGTATAGGCAGGATAAATAAAGGAAAAAAAAATAAAAATATTATACAGTACTTTTTGTTCCCAGAGCTATTTCTAGGTTGTGGTGAAAAAAGTCAAGATGGCAATGCACATCAAACACGGGCAGAATTTTAACTATAGTATTGTAGTTGCCATATTGAGGTTTTTTACCATAATCTGTGAATATTTCCATCTGTCCTTTGCAGAACTTTTTGCAAAACATGAGTTTACCCTGTCATAGCCAACTCTCTTTGAAAGTACATAGTTATGAACAATCAGTTATTAACATATATCATTTTCACATATATACTGCTTAAGGTGAAAAGAATATACAGCATGTAAAACACTATAGCAGGAATAAATGAAACTTATCAACGTTGGCTAGAGTACAAAGAAGTATTAGAAAATGTTCATTTTTACTTATGATTTTGCCAAACATTGGCCTCAAAAAAGTATCTCTGCTGGACTGCTTCTTCCCAATATGAAATCAGTTGTGTGCAAGTCAAAATCTGGATTAATTTCATTATGGAAAAATGAGAGTTTATTTTCTTTAAATCAGCGGAAATGTTCCCTCCAAGATGGCATGCTGAGTGGTGGGACGGATTTGCTTCCCCAGCCAATGAACAGCTGGTTTTGCTGCCAAAGTGGCAGCCAGCTCCCTGGGTCAAATGAGAGCATCTAGGAATGACCCATGACAACTCTAGGACAACTTTGACACTCCTGAGAAGAGGAATCCTTGAGGTTGTAATTCCTGATGGGGCAATCAGAGAGTCTCCATCTTTCCTCGCAGCTATTATTATTTTTAAACAAACCTTGGCTTTTAATTGCACTTTTCAAAGTTTTTTTCTCTTTTAATTTGATTCTTATTTTTTAAAGGTGAACTGACTGGTTGAATGCTGATTTATTCTAACCCCCTGCTGGACTTTAATGTTAACTTTCTCTGGTTGCTTTACTGTATGGGTTTTTTTCCAGCTCTGACAAGCCACTCCAGGTTTTTTGCCCCCACCATTTGGAAAACCAGAACTGTGTTATATCTCTTGTTAAAATTCAGCAGAGAAAACATGAATCAGCCTGCCTATCTATGTCATAATGATCATATGGGTTTCATCAAATTTAGCAAGCAAATGTTTAGATGCCAATAAGAACATTTATCAATTCTTGGGCCAGCTTATACATCCAGTGCTACATTAGTGACTCTCATTTCTAGACAAAGGAAAACCAATTAAATAACTTGAGATACATTTTCTAGAACACACAGTCATAACCCTCATTTGCCAAAAGTAAATTGAAAAACCATCTGTTCCCTCTTAGCAACAGCTATTGAAGCATCCTCATGATAAACCAATTGATAATTAGTATTTCTACTGTTCTCAAATATTTGATTTATATATTTTTAAAAAATTTCATCTATTTACTATCTGATTCTTAAACTGTAACATATTTTTGTACAAATCTCTTTATTCAACTTCAGGGAAAATTATGTAACTGAATGGATTAAAAATCTTACCCAAATATATTTTTTCTCCTGAACAGAATTAATTACTATATAAGACACAGAATCAGGACATTACACCTTTGGCATTGGCAAAATGCAACAACTGACCTATACAGACAGATATATGCTTCAATTATGTATCACTTATTGTCACTTATTTTTAATGGCTTATTTCATCCATTTGTTTGCCATCTATAAACCCCCAAGTACTGAGTAGGCAAGAGCAGTGGTCACCATGCAACTGGACATGGGCAAGAGAAAAGCTAGCAATATCTACTCCTTATCATAATTATTGCTTCCAGGTAAAAATAGCGAACAAATAAGTAATGTGTCCATAGAGACTTTGTCCTCTCCTTTCATAAAGTGAGTAGGAAAAGCTCATATTGATATATCAGATGAAAAAACAGAAAAGCCTAAATTTCTACAGCCGACAGAAGTTGATAATGATTGCCACAACTCGTCTTTAGGGGCAGTGTTTTGAGAATACAGTAGTATTTCAATAGTTGTCCATAATTCTAAAACTGATGAGAATGCCATGTGATCTGCTATTTCATCCAGAAGAAATGGTGAGTCATGAGGCAGCCTAAGTCAGCAAGCTCTTCCTTGTGCATTGACTACTGGGAGATGAGTGTCGGATCAAGATTTTTGCTTCAAAATGCATTGAATGCCAAATTCAATAAGTTTCGAAGCAGCTGGGTACAAAGATATGATTGTACGTAAGTACAATAACAGTGAGCCTTTTTTTCAGGAGGATTTAGAGTTGTCCACAACTGCCACAGCTGTTGCCATATACCTACTCTGTGAAGAAGTTGAAGGATAAACAGAAGTTGTATGTGCATGCAGACAGGCTGATGCAAACACCTCCAAAATCTCAACTCCAGGTTGCATGGAAGTGTGCACCCTGTCTGTTAACTGGTTCTGGCTTTCTGCTGAAAGGCCGGAGAAAGCAAGGCATATTCAAATGGGAAATGTTAAAATTCACTTATGTACAAAAGGAACACCTATATGCACTCATCCCCAAACAACAGAAGCGTATGTTCCTCATGTTCCTTTATGAGTTGTGGTTAGAATGGGCTTAATAGACATCTACTTAATCAGACAAGGCATTCCTAACTTCCATGAGTATCCATATCACAATATATGTAACTGCATGTTTTTGGTACCAAGCATTCACAAATTTTGCGGGTACAGCAAACAAAAAGGGGATTTTAAAAGATAACTTCAATATTTATATTCTTAGAAACGTTATCTGGCCATGTTATAATAGGAAAGATTAAGATTCATCAGTAATTAATGTTAATCAAGAGCACTCAAATGGAGGCTTCCTTTTTAAAGAATCAAAACGGAAAATGTTTTCTGAAATTTTAATATATAAGTATAAAACGAACTTGGAGGGATAAATTTATGAGGAAAAGGAACTTCTTACATTTGAAAGAACCATCTTCAGAAAACAGCTTCTGCAAGCATTGTAGGGTTATACTTTGATTTGTATTCATAATTGGACTTTGAGAAAAATCACCAGGGAACTGAGAATGGGTTGACCCCTAATTTCCATTCCTGAGACTAACAGGCAGAATGAACTGTAAATTCTGAATAACTTCAAATGTTCTTCCATACACTATAATGGAAATTACAGAAATTTATCCTTATCAAGTTTGAAAGAGCTTTGAACCTGTTTCTGGAATTAAAAAGAGCCTTCTGCCATTTCTTTTAAGCATGCCTATTTCTTAAAACTGCTGGGAAATGCCAGATGGAATAGTTCTGCTTGCCTGAACATTGTGAAATAGTGACTCATTTCCGAAGAAGTTGTTGTATCGTGTGAAGTATTCCACACTAAGCTGAAAAATAGAAAGATGGTAGAGATTATTAGAGAGATACCACGTTGTTCTATTCTATTAAAGCTCATCTAACATACATAAGCAGAGCCATACTTACTGTATCTTGAAGAAACAAGACAATATTTGTGTGCTCTGGACCCGGAACTGCATCTTTCAGTAATAAATATAACTCATCCCTCGACATAACATGTCCTTCATGTAAAGTCTTTGCCAAGCCATGGAGAGAGCTAAAAAAGAAATTGAGTTATGAAAAAACAAATAGGAACAAATGATTCTATGGCAACTACTTTCTAGGGCAAGGGGTGCTACTTACAGTTTAAGCTGTCTTGAAATGTTATGTTAAAATCCATCATTTATGTCTGCAACTCAGACATAAATTCTTTAGTGTTACTTTTCATATTTTAGGGCTGAGCTAATTAATTGCTAATTCTTATATTGTGCTGCCTTTATTCCAAGGATTTGAGGTGACATAGATGAAGCCCCCATTCATTTTTATACTCAGAGCAATGTCACTGTAAAATAACCTGAGTAAGGTGCTTTCACAGTCATCAGCTACAAACTGTGATGTCAAAATGGCAACCTGGGAATAATGATGTTAATACAATTGTCAACTTGCTTCAGTGACATCATGATACTAGGTTAGATGTACCCAATTTGTGTCATTTGTAAGAAGATGTTGCAACATCCATGTCAACATTTGACCCTCTTGTCTACTCCAGTCCTCATTATGGATGATAGCAATAGCACTTAGACTTATATACCACTTTACAATGCTTTACAGCCCTCTCTAAGTGGTTTACAGATTAACAATTTGGGTCCTCATTTTACTGGCCTCGGAAGGATGGAAGGTTGAGTCAACCTAGTGAGATTTGAACTGTCAAATTGCGGGTGGCTGGCAGTCAGCAGAAGTAGTCTGCGGTACTGCACTCCAATACTGTGGCTGTGCCACTGTGGTTCATATCTGAATGCTGTTCTTTTTCCTTTTTAAAGGAATTTGGATGTAATTTCCTGATTGTTGATTGAAATAAAATCGTTTGAATGAGATATTAAATTGAATTTTGTTTTTAAAAGTATTTTGGCACTCAAGCAAATTAGAGTTACTAGCACGGACAGAGAATGACTACAAATACAATAGTTTGGGAATAATTCTTGTCATGATACTAAATTCTACCTTGGATATATCATAGTTACCATTTATTCTGTTTCCAATTAAATGTGATGGAACTTGTCTCTTAGGACTTACAAGAATTATGGGACATTCTGACCCAAGGAACCCAGAAATGCCCCTACCTAATGCTCCTACCTATTCTTCAGTTGGATCACTTTCAGGACACTTAAAACAAGTCATGATAAGATTGGAATGTTCCGTGATTTGGGCACATTTCTATTAAAAATCCATTAAGAACAAAAACATATATTGAGCAATTTTCCAATTGATCATTTTCAATTTTAAAATTCTAGGATTCTGAAATGCTTCAGGTCAGTTTTGGACTCCTCATGACTGCCTGAATGAGTCCCTGCAATTTTCTCAACAAGGTTTTTCAGAAGGCTGAGAAAGAACAACTGGCAAAGGTCATCCAGCAGACTTTATGACCAAGACATGACCAGAACTCATAGTCTCCCCATTTCTAGCCTGATGCTTTAAACCACTGCAACAAACTGACTCTATTTTCCAATTTCCAATCATTTCCAATTCTAACGTTCTATGATTCTGATATAAGGTTTTAGACACTTTTAATGAGAAAATAAATGGACTGGAACATATAGAATGCATAATCTCATTTCCCATTGCTGAAGCAACTTCAACCCTTCCCCTGTAGGCTGCACATAAAGTTATCTTTGCATTTATAAATTTTAAAAATATTTCCAATGTTTTCTTTTATTGTAAACAAATTCACAGGCAGTTTGCAAGGAACATTAAACAGCACACACAAAGCCCACAGTGTAATTTTTCTTTAGTTTGAAAAAAGGAATTGTTTACTCTGATATAGTTTTGGGTAGCTTAAATAGATCTGAATAATCAAGAAATCAGTACAAAGTCACAATGGAAAGCCATAACAATTCGGAATGGCCTGCTACCTGTTCTTAATTCTACATGTATTTTTCAGGTGAGAGACTTAACTTAGCACAACTAAACATAAAAACATTGTGCAACACATCTAATTTTTGTTTCTTAACCATTTTCTGTGCTGTTAAAACTGAAGAAGATTGGAGAATGAATTATCACTATCTAGGTACTCTATAAAATTCAATTAAATAAGCAAGTATGCAGTTAAAAGTTGATCTGGAAGAATCTCTTTTTGGAAATTAAAGTGCTGTTTTGCTCCATGTCCATACACCAACCTAGAATAAAACATTAGTTTTATATGTTTTTGAGACTCTAAGGAGAAAGGAGTATATAGATGAATAATTTCCTCTATGCAGGACTGTCAGTCCCGTGTGGTAGAGTCTATCAGGAAACAGACTCCATAGAAACTTCCATAGGAAGATTAAAACTTTCATATTGTTTACATCAGAGTGGGGAATTATGACCTGTCTATGACTTGTGGATTTCAACTCGCAGAATTCCCGAGCCATAAAAGGGTCATAGTTCCCCACCTCTGGTCTACAGTAATAGAATCTTACTTGTGTTTCTCTCCTTCTCTCTGCCTTATACCCTAGGGAATTGGAAGGGAACCAGTTTGAGTCTGTTTTTAATACTCAGCTTAATGCATGCTTTGGCAACTATGTTTGTCCTAACAGCTTTGGCAGAGAGAAACATCGTTTGATTTTTAGACTATCATGTATGAGATATGAGCAACTAGAAAATCCTTCTCATAAAAATTGGAAAAGAAACTCATATCTATATATTGGACTTAATGCCTTATTCTTATGTGACCCTGTGATCCAGGGTTCCATCCTTCCAGAACAAAAGAAACATGATGAAGGAACTTCAGAGAGCTGAGGAAAACAGCAAGACTGGAAGTACAAAATGTTTGTTTGTTAGATAATTAATTCGACATATGCTTTTCTTTCTGAACAATTTGAACTTCCATGGACATCATTATTCCTTGGTTTTCCTCTGCACCCTCTGACAACTTAAGGAAATCACACTGTTTTGAAAAGCTGCTCCCACATAGCTTGCTGCCTCGAAAACAAGACCAGCTAAATTGCTGTCCTCAGCTGACAATGGAGTGCTAGGTATTAGAGCAAGGGTCTTCAAACTTGGCAAGTTTAAGACTTGTGGACTTCAACTCCCAGAATTCCTGAGCTAACATGACTGGAGGAGGAACTCTGGGAGTTGAAGTCCACAAGTCTTAAAGCTGTCAAATTTGAAGACTCCTGTATTAGAAGTTGCTATGACGGAAAGCATGAAGAATTAGTGCAGGAAGAATTAGAGAGGATGAAGGATCTCCCAAAAGTCTTCTCCTGTTCAAGAAAGCTCAACCTCTGATACAACAGAAAGAAAAACCAAGAACTGGAGTCATGATCGTATGTGGGAATGACCTTGGGAGACAGGAGGAATATCTGTAGCCTAGGTAACAATTCAGAAAAGACACACCCTAGTTTTCTGGAGAATGGAAAGAGAGAAGGGGAGAAATACTTCACTTGCAAGATTCTATTTAACATAACCCTACAATATAGATAGTTCCGATGCTCCTGCTTGTGCTTCTTGTTGGACTACCTTGAAAGGCTAACAGGAGGGTACTGCTGTAGGAACAACAAACTTTTGGAATATTTTCTTGAATATTGCTCTTCCTACCTAAGCCTAAAAGAAACAAAGCAAACTTTGCTTGCCACGGAGCTTCTGATCTCTCTGGAAGCCAAAGCAGAAATGGTCCCAGAAAATCCATGGCTGAATGGGAGAAGATCAGTGATGGGATTGTTATTTTTTTTTACTGCTGGTTCTGTGGGCATGGCATGGTTTGGTGGGTGTGGCTTGGTAGGTGTGACAGGGAAAGGATACTGTAAAATCTCTATTCCCACCCCTCTCCGGGGGAAGATTACCACCGGCTCTCCGAACTAGTCAAAATTTCTTCTACCGGTTTTCCAGAACTGGTCAGAACCTGCTGAATACCACCTCAGGAGGGGACAGTCCTACACTGGCTCAGCATGACAGTTTTGATCTTTCTTTGGCACTTCTGTGCAAATCAGAATGTTTGTATAGGAGATTGTGCTGTGTTTTCTGATTTTTTTAAAAAAATCCCTTTCATGTTAGATCACTTTGATCCAGTTTCAGCTTGCCTGAGCAGCAGATTGACAGGATCTGAAGACTGTGTGGTGGGGAATATCTTCAACACACAGTTAAGAGGGTCTCTTGGTGCTGGGGTAAGGAGGATATCTAGATTGCACTCCTTAGATGATCTATCTGCATAGATGAGACATCCCATACTTCAAGAAGATGTCCATCTATGAAATGGGTTCTTGGCACCCAGTCTCTCTTGAACTATATTATTCCTTCAATCAACATTCAACACTCTCATGAACTTTCAAGAAATCTGGGACTGAAGCAAGCTGAAGGATTGATAGCACACATGAGAAATCATTTAATTATATAATACAGGCTACATTTCAACCTAGTTTCAATAGAGTCATCCCTTTAAATACCGACAGCTGCTTGGGAACAGATTTAAATTTTTGTTGAACTATTTGGCAGATGTGTAAGGACTCCGCTCTCCCTCTCCATATGTCTAGGGACATCCAGATCGCCTATATTATATTTTTTAAAAAGAATATTAACTGCATCCCTCCACTTAACTTCATGTCTAATTTGGTCCATTCCCTTCTGCATGCCAAGCTGGTGAAATCCCAGATTCCTTTCCCAAGTAATCATTAACATGTTATTTCTAAGGAACCCTTGGACTCCTCCGTCATTCAACTTTTACAGCTGGGCTTACTAATATGATGGTTACTGCATTTGGGTTTTAATAGGTAACAAAACCTGCCAGGCTAAACTACAGAGCTGAAATGAATATCCAACATCAATCAAACAACAGCAGGAGGAATGAATTCAATAGTTTGCTCAAAATCAGATATATGTTTTTCTCCCTTGGTTATATTGCAGGTTGCCCCTTGAGTGTTTAAGCTGTCAGGTGTACTTAGGAAATGGAGTGGGTAATGATTTGAAATACCCCTTGCTCTTCAACTTGTGAAATGAAAAGGGATATAAGAATGAGGTGGAAGATAAATGAAAAGGAATCATTTCTGCGGTTCTGTTCAAATGGCATAAACAAAATGGGGCACCTTTGTTATCCAGATTTTTCTTTTCTTTTAATGAACTTGCAAAACTTTGCATTGGGGTAGAGTTGAGGCAACTGAATGGTGCTCGAGTGTTTACTGGCTGGATGCCCTTCCAAATGTAGAGCTTGCAGCAGACTATTGCACGCAAAGAGACAAATATCCACTGCTATCTAGGATCAAACTCACAGCTTCCTGACTGTGAGGCAACTTGGTTATCTAGGATAAGCCCAGAGGTGGTATTCAGCAGGTTCTGACTAGTTCTGGAGAACTGGTAGTAGAAATTTTGAGTAGTTTGGAGAACTGGCAAATACTACCTCTGACTGGCCCTGCCCCCATCTATCCTCTGCCTCCCGAGTCCCAGCTGATCGGCTGGGTCTTCTTTTGTTGCCCTGCAGAGGAGAACGGAGCTGGAAAGCAGCTAAGTGGTGTGGAGAGGGAATGGAATTTTTATTTATTTTATTTATTCATTTATTTTGTCAAACAATTTTTAGATAACAGGTATAAGTATAAACATGATTATAAATACATGAAATGGATACGAATAAGAAAAAAAAGAAACAATAGGACAGGGACGGTAGGCACGTTTTGGTGCGCTTATGCACACCCCCTACAGACCTCTTAGGAAAGGGGTGAGGTCAATAGTAGACAGTCTAAAGTTGAAGTTTTGGGGGTTTGGGGAAGAAACTACAGAGTCAGGTAGAGTATTCCAGACATTGACCTCTCTGTTGCTGAAGTCGTATTTCCTGCAATCAAGTTTGGTGCAGTTTATCTTTAGTTTGTATCTATTTTGTGCTCTTGTATTGTTTTGGTTGAAGCTGAAGTGTTCATTGATAGGTAGGACATTGCAATATATAATTTTATATACTATACTTAGATTAAACCAAAGGCGGTGTAGTTCTAGGTTGTCTAGGTCTAAAATTTCACGTCTGGTATCATAAGGTATTCTGCTACGAATAGAAGAGTGGAGGATTCTTCTCGTAAAATATTTTGCAGTAAGCTTCCGCTGGAGTGGGTTGGGAATGGAGATTTTACAGTATACTTTCCCTGCCATGCCCACCAAGCCATGCCCACAGAACCAGTATTAAAATATTTGAATCCCACCACTGGATAAGCCCCACTAAATTTAAAATCCTCAGACAAGCCATGTGTGGCCCATGATTATCTAGTCCTTCTATAACAACTTACTTTGGGGGAAATTAAGATGAAGATTGCAGTCTAATTACACTACCTATAATTACAGCATTTCAGTATGCACATAATTGATTATTTATTTGGCAGAATTATACTAGATAATTAGAAATGTTCACATTCTAAAATTACATAATGAGAAAGAGTTTATATTAACTTATTTTGGTTTTGTTTAAAGAAATAAACTGCATATAAGAGAACAGGGTAATAAATAAAGGCATAACAATCTAAAATGACTCTACAATAAAATAAGTAACCGTCGAAAATAACTTTTAAAATGTTGTGTGAAAAAGCTGATATTTTTGTGAAACAAACACTCCCTGATGCAGAATGTTTAAAGAATGTTTAGAATATTCTGCTATTGCTTTAAAATAATATGTGAAACATGAATCAGAATTAATTAGGCACCCAAAAAAGAAAATAACAACATTACACTTAAAGATTTCAGTGATACCAAACATTTGGGAAGCAGAACATATTTTAAAATATATTCCTTCTTATTTTTTATGTTCTACTTTTTTGATAGATTCAGTACTTGATTTAAAACTTGTTTCCAAGAGCAACTGATGCAAGCATTCACTTTCACTTCCTGCTTTGCCTTTTCTCTTTTTAGAGTTCCCATATGCAAAATCTAAGTTTGCTTTCAGTGAAGTGAGAGAAGGCATTCCATTCTATTATAGTATTTAGACCAGTGGTCTAAAAGTGGTCAATATCAACCACCAGGATCAATGAGATTATCTATACTGTTATTGTGGTTTTTTTCACACAATCAGCCAGATGTTCAAACTGGATTTGGCATTTGTATCCACTTATTGAGTTCTTCCAAGGACTTGGGTTAGCAGATGTTGATGTTTAATGTTGTTATCATTGCAGGATGTGAGTTTTCTGAGTAAAGCTGCCTTTTGCAATTGACTGAGGGAGAATTTGTCAATGCCGATGATGTTCAAATGGTGCTCCAATTGTTTTCGGATTGCACCCAAAGCACCGATCAGTGTTAGTACTATCTTTGCTTTCTTTTGTCACAGTCATTCTATTTCTATTTGCAGATCTTTGTATTTTGTTACCCTCTCCTTTTTCTTCTATTCTGCTGTCTCCCGGTACCACCATGTCCACTATCCATTTTTTTTTGTCTTATCAAAAATCGTTTTACTGTTTTTTTCATCCCACAAAATTCTATAAATGAAGCAATTGCTCAATTAGTTTGTGTTCATTGGATTGCTTTAATATGCCAAAAAATACAGCCTTTCTTTCTCCTTAAATATCTCATATGCATCAGACACATATTCAATAGAAGATGACGGTTGAAAATTGTTTTTGAAAATAAATTTATTTTTTCACCTTTAGTATTGACCCCAAAATAGACATCACCATAAACCGGCAGAGGAGCAGCACTGAATATTCTAACCATGTTTTTTTTTTCTTCTTAAAATTGTTCCCATATCATGTACAGGCTATGTTTTATTATTGTTTTATAATGATATAATATTATTGTACAACAATGTGAAATCACAGCTGCTGGTTCTTTTAAGTGGTATGGCCCTTCATACACACCATGTTTCAGCTTAATATATGTGCAGATCCAAGCAATGTGGTTTTGTGTAATTGATAGATGGAAATTTTGTCAATACACAGATTTTCTAAGGGCTGCCCAGGATTCTTTGGTATGAAACCCATGGCCAGTTTATGCCATAATCTTTCCACTTTGATTTTCAGATATTACTGCTTTGTGATCTTCTCCAATCCTTTGATTCTATTCCCTAGTATCATCACATCAATTTAATCACAGTTCAATCTAACGTGTTGTGAGTCAGTATTCAGAAATCCCACAACCTTTGTCTTTAAATAAGATGTCGTATTGGTTTTTTTAGAAAAAGATCTCTTATGTTATTATATTCTATGTTTTGTTTGTCTGTATATTGTTTTGTAAAATTAATAAAATTTGCTTAAAAAAAAAAAAGAAATCCCACAACCTTTTAACCTAGACATTCTCAATTATTTTTTCAATTATACATTCCGGCCAATTTTTTCTTTACTAGACATGACCATTTTTAGGAATGTTCCAGTGAATCATTTTGGTGACGGTGTCATGTCATGGTTTATAATCAGTTACTGCCATCTTGCATGTGCTGAGTATGTGATCTACTGTTTCTTTTGCTTCTTTGGTTAATCTGCACTTTGAATCATCGATGGTTTTTCAATTCTGGCCTTGAATGCATTGGTTTGAATAGCTTGCTCTTCTACAGACAAAATTAAACCTTTTTTTTTTTTTTTTTAATGTTCTAGTTGAATGTCATTGCCAGATTTCTTCCTACTTTTCCCTTGATATTTTGCAAAAACTGATCATGTAATGCTTTTTTTTTGCCAGCATTCTGTCTGTATTATTTTTTTTACTGCATTTCAATATTCATTCTTCTGTTTCCTGTACATTTAGCATGTTCCAATTTTTTCTTGAGTCCAGCTTCTTCCTGGCTGTCTTTTATATAATTAGCCAAGTCATGTTTTTCTTCTTTGACTGTTTGACCTGAAGTCAACCTCTGTCTCCATTTCTGCAGGGCAGGTATAGGCTATCAATAACACTAAGGGGATGTAATACAGAGTGAATAGTCATCAGTTTTCTTGTTTTTTCCAGTCCAAACTGTCCAGTTCAGCTTGTGTCCAGTTAATAATTGTAGCAGTGTATCGTATCACAGGCATGATTCAGGTACTGGTGGCTTTGATAATATTTCCACAATTCCATTTTGTCTTTAGGAAATATGTCATGTTTCTTTGTTAATCACATTTTTAACTTGTCCAGGATTGATGTTTTCCAACTGTAAAATCACCAAATACATATAAGTGTTTTTCTTCATGGCTCCTGATGGTTTGGCTATTTGGTGTTGTTGTTTTTTTTGATTCAGTTATTGTTGGCTGTTTTACCCTGCTTTTTGCTACCATAGCAAATTTATCTAGGCCAAATTCCATT